TATATATATATATATATTTATATTTAAAAAAATTGTGGAATTAAAATAAATGTTTTGTTGATTAAAAGAAAAGTGGAGAATATTAAGTAAAGGCTCATTAAATAATTGTAAAAAATAATTTAAATCAGCTGTTTTTATTTCAGGCTGAGATAGCTCTAACAGACTGATTAGTTTAAGTTTTAAATGTTAAAAAGTGTAAGCAGATAAATAAGTTGGTCCATATTTCCCCTAACGAACACAAAACTAAGATACGGAGGGAAAACAAGCAAAACTAATAAATAAGGTCCAGACTAGGAGACAAAACCCTTAAAAAAACAAACATGAAAAAAAAAAAAATACATGTTTTTTGTCCCTACAACAAACAAAGTAAATAAATGTTAAACTTCAACTTCATCAAAGAAAAACCATCAGAAAAAAATGAGAATAAACACCATAATAAATGCTTCAAATAAAGAAGCAGAAAACCATAATGTGTTAAATCGGTTCATTTAAATCCCAAATGAGCTGAAACTTCAGGATCTTTAGTTTTTCTCATGAACCAGCTGCTCGCTCGCTACTTTGTAATTTAGAATATTTAAAACTACAGAGCACAGTTAGGAGCAAAAATAACAGATCTGAGTTGTTTCCGTTTAGGAAGTTGTTAAATATGTTTGAACTGGTTCACAGAGCTTCTCCTCCTGCCTTCTGTTCAGCTGTTTTATTAACATTAACACCAAAGACCAGTGTTAAAAATGTAAATTAGTTTAAATAAAGGTTTTTTTTTTACCTGAATTTTAACCACAATAAATTCTTGTAAACCATTGTTTCATTTTAGAGGCTAATACGAGCCAAACGCAAGCTAATTGCTGAAAATAGCCAACCAGATGCCAAATGCAGTTTGTGGTGAAATCAGATGTGAAAATTATCTCATTAGCTGAAGGTTAAAAGTATCAAAATGGTAGCTTAACGCTTAAATTAGCACAAATGCAGCTAAGGGCTAAACATAGCAATGATAGCTAAAAACTAAATTGCAACACAATAGCTAAGAGATAAAGTAACACAATGCTAGAAAATAGCTGAAAGTAGCAAAACAGTAGCTAAATGCTAAAATTAGCAAATTAGTATTCAAAAGCTAATACAAACTAGTAGCACAGCAGTAGCTAAATGTAAAAGTAGAGAAATGGTACATAAAAGCTAAAAGTAACACAATTACCGGTATAGCTAAGAGTTATAAGCGAGGAAATAATAGTTAAAATATAAAAATAGTATAATGGTACGTGAAATCTAAAAGTAGCTAAAATCTCAAAGTAGCACAACAGTAGCCAAGAGGTATAAGCAGGGTAATAACAGCTAAAAGCTAAAGTAGCAAAGTGGTAGGTAAAAGTTAAACCTAGCACAATGGTAGCTAAATGCTAAAAGCAGCCCAACAGGAGCTAAATGTAAAAGTTGCAAAATGTTGGTAAAAGCTCAAAGTAGCAAAATGTTGGTAAAGGCTAAATGTAGCAGAGTGGTAGCTAAAAGCTAAAAGTAGCACAATTGTGGCTAAAAGCTAGAATGCTCAGAAAACAACCAAAAATACTGCGACAAGCCTCACTTGTATCGTTAATACTGACACCAAATAAATATTTAAAATGTCGGTAAATGTATGTAAATAAAGTTTTTTTAACCCGTGACTCCTGTTTGCAGGCAGAACGAGGTTCTGTGGAGAGAGGTGGTCTCACTGAGACAGAACCACACGCAGCAGCAGAAAGCCATGAACAAGGTGAGTCCACCTGTTTGAGTCTGTACAAACAAGACATTTAAGGGAAACTCAATTAAATTCATCCCGCTGTGAATGCAGCCAAAAATCTTTATAGTCTTATTTTTGTCAGATCACATTGCATGTAGTTTATTTACTCTACGTTTTACTATTTACTATTACTATTTACTATTACTATTTACTTTATTACGTTTTGTAGCTTGAAAGGCAAAAATACCAGGTACAGTGAATGCAGCACGGTCTGAAGCTGAAGGTGGAGATAAATTATACAGAGGCTGAATGTTGTTTTATCCTTTACCTCTTTTTGCTGGTTTAGATTCTCTTTCTCATCAGTCCCATCTGCTTGTTCATGTAATTTGATGTAAAGCAGTTTGTGTTAAAAAAAAAAGTTTGAATTTATTTGAATACAGTAGTCCCTTGATTATCGCGGGGGTTACGTTCCAGAAACCTCCGTGATGGATGAAAAACTGCAAAGTAGGAACATTATATTTATTTTAGTATCTCTCTCTCTCTCTCCCTATATATATATATATATATATATATATATATATATATATAAGGCTTTATAAACCCTTCCCGCATACTTGCAATGTTCTTAACAATGTTCTAAACTCTTAAACCTATGTAATTTTAACAACATACATATATGTACTGTACAGTACTGCAACATATTTATATGGGTACTCACCAGTGAAGATACTACAACTTGAAGGATGTGACTTTCCTGCCGGTTCTGTGAGCTTAATGGATTGATCATTAAATCTGACTTTGTGTTGCAAAACTATTTTTACCACGTCGGTTTCTCCGCGAGTGTTCGCTCCCTCCGCTGTTGTAGTTCTTTTAACTTGCGTTACAGTGCAGGCTTATTGAAAGAAAACTACAAAATGGCGGCGACTGTGCAAAGTCTTTTCTTATGTTGAAATCCCGCCAAAGTCGAACTGCGAAGTACCGAGCTACTACTGCACATTTGTCCTGAGATCAGGTCCAGTCCAAACCTGGATGATGTTTTTGGGTCCACACACAGAGACGAGGGTCGATGAATGACCTTTAGATTACGATGTTAGAGATCGCAGCAGCTCAGTGTAACATCGGGTGCGTCGTCATCACCCGGTGCCAAAGAGAAATGCAGGACAAACATGTTTGCCCTCGTCTGTGCACGTTAGTGTCCTCAATCCTGGTCCTGGAGGGCCACCACCCTGCAGGTTTAGATGTTTCCTCACTCTTCATGGGGTTTTCAGGTTCTGCAGAAGCCTGTTAACCCCTCGTTCATTCACATCAGGTGTGTCGAAGCAGAGAAACATCTAAAACGTGCAGGGCCAAGATTGAGGGCCACTACTTTATAGTGTTAGCAAAATATCTCATAAACCACTGAACAGATTTTGTATAAAACTTTCAGGGATTTATCCTAGAATTTATTTTCTACAACAGCTTTGTGATCTTAACCAGCACAAGCATGGCCGCACCTCGACGGACTACAGACACTGAGATAAAAATGACTGTGGTAGTAGCTGTGAGTCATCCCCTGAGCACCAACAAAACCCCACAAAACTGTGATTGTGCTCAGTGTTATTTATAAAGTTTAACCAAATAAAACAACGGAACAGCTGGACTTCCATTCTGTAGCTGAAACTGCTTCTTTTCCCATCAGGGGAAGTTTTTAACTCAAGAGTGGATCCAAGCTTTAATCCACAAGAGATACTTTGTTGATGAGGTTTATTTTGTTTGTTTATTTCTTGTTTACTCTAAGCAGCCGTAACTCCATCGTTTTATCCTCAAGCTGTGGCATTAAGTAACTTCAACTGCACCGTTCGTTTGACTGAACGATTAAGGGAATGATTTTGAGTCAGACGTGGTTGGAGTTAAAGCTGCGGCGGTGAAGGTGATGGAGAGCTCCTGTTTCAGCAGAGAGGGGACATGTCAGGACGCTGAGTCAAGCTTCACTTTCTCTCCGTCTCTTTCCCAGCTGATTCAGTTTCTGTTCAGCCAGATGCAGCCCAACACACCCAGCGCTGTGGGCCTGAAGAGAAAGCTGT